CCTCTGTCCCTGCCTGTCCCCGTGTCCCCCAGGCTGTCCCCGTGTCCCCAGCCCAGGTGGAGGCAGGGCAGGGATGGCAGAGGCTGCTGGAACGCTGATAAGTGAATTCCAAAGCGCTGCTCGGGCTCTTATCTGCTCCAACAATACCGAGAAGTTATCACTGGGAGAGCGCTTCTGCTCCCCTTTAACATCACAGCCAGAAAGGGAAGGGAAAAACCTCCTTCAGAAGGGTTTTGGGGACAAAGCAGAGAATGCAGAGCTGGCTCTGCTCCTGGGCTGCCCAGGACCCCTCTGCCTCTGGTTCTGACCCATGGAGCAAATCACCAGCTCTGTACAAGCCAGGAGAGTTTAAGCAGAATAATAATTAGTTGTCACTAACCATTCTACTAAAAAAGTAGAATTTTGGCGTTTTTGGAATGGAGGCTTGGGGTCCCAACATGGAGGAATTTGGGGGTGCTTTGTCCTTCTTGCTCCTTTTTCCTGGCCCCCATGTTCTGGGTGATGGTGGCACTTTTGGATTGGTTTAAGGTAGGAACACACTGTCTAACACAGGTGACAGGTATTGGAAAATTACTGTAAATAATGTTATTGGGAAATTATTGTAAACAAAATACACATAGTTTTTAGTATAAAAGACAACACTGCCTCTGAGGGCAGTCAATGTGCCTCTGTGTGACCTGCTGGACAGACCTCAGCAGCCAGGGAAACAATTTTATAGAAAATAGAATAATAAACAACCTTAAAAACCAGAACAGAAGAATTCTGACTCCTCCTTTGCCTGCCAGGCTGGGAAAAGAGACTTTCTAAGGCATCTTGGGGTCGTTCTGGCCACAGAGATTCTGCTCCTGAGGGCAGCAGAACACAGCAGCTCAATCCAGCCCCTAATTCTGCTCTGCTTCTTCTCCCTTTGTGACTTTTCCAAACAGTGACCGGTACAGCTCCGTCCTGGGGAAAAAAGGGAGAGGGAAAAGTCACTTTCCAAGGTCAAAATGGAACCAAAAAGCTGCCACAAACCCTCCACTCCTTCAGCAAAGGCCTGGTGTAATTAAAAATGCGTTTGAGAATCTTTATTAATAAATACAGGCAGAGATATGAGCCCAATCCCAGGCAGGGCAGAAATATGGAAATATTGCAGTGTGCCTGGATATTGGATCTCCAGAGAATGAGGGTTTCTATAAGTTTGCCCTTTACAGACAGGCTCTTCAAGTAAGAAAACAAGATTGAATATTTTAATAGGATGTTGGGGCCGTGAGGAGGATTCAATCACACAGCCAACGTGGGGCTGTAATTTAGTTTTCATACATTTTCTTGGACAGTACTTGAAAAACAATGAAAATGACCCAGCAACAAGATTCCAATTAATATCCCATGTGCAGCAATTCTGATAACAGGAGCAAATTTCCCCTAAAAAAAAATTAAAAAAGAAAAGTGGGCTGGTGTTATTTATCTTTAATTTTAGAGGCAGAGAACGTGAGCTGGGAGAAAGGAGGGATGTTCATAAAGCAGGAATTTCTGGGATGGAGGGAAGAGCTGGATTTTCTCTCTCTGCAGCTCCTAAAGCCTCTTGGCTGCTCACTTGAGGGGAATGTTGGGCACACAATGGGATTTTCCCTTTCATCACAGCAATATCTGGGTTTGGGCCTGTGTCATGAGAATTCCTGGGGTTTTTATGCTCATTTCTGTGGGTTTGGTGCTCTCTGTGGGTGCAGGAGCTCAGGGATGGATGCAGGTTTGCTCCAATCCCACAGATTTTAAACCAACAGCCGTTTCTCAGGCAAGCAGGGCCTGGGGAGATCTCAGGGAGGAATTTGTGTTTGCTGGCACTGACATGGGAACTGCAGGTTTGGGGTTCAGGGGGGTCCCTCACCCTCCTAGGAATGGGATGGAGCAAAATCCCAATGGAAACTTCTGGAAAATGACACAGCAGGGACAGACAGCCTGGCACAGTGACAAGAGAAGGACAGAAATCAGGCCACCCCAAAACAGGGCAAACATTTCACCCTGAAAATCAAATATTAAATATCAAACACCCCAACCCTTTCCCCCCTCTCCTCATCAGGCTCCCTTTCTCCTGCAGCCTCTCCCCTCAGCAGGATTTAACCATGCACAGAGCAAAACTCATCAATCCTGCAGGTTTAACCTTGTCTGTGTCTCAATTCACCAGGGTAAGTGCACATTTTAATACTTCCAGCCCCCTTAAGGCTATGCATAATGAACCTGGATTTTGGT